CTGATTTGAGGAACTTGGAAAGCAATTAATACCCAACATGGCTTAACTGCTTTGTGCAGTTCTGAATCTGAAAGAAGTTTTATAATGTTTCATCTGAAGTCCATATGAGTCCCTTTCCCCCCACTTTTTTTTAAAAGGATTTGTAATCTGAAATTTAAATACCCATTTTAAAACCAGCTGTGTAATAGTGGAATGTCAAACTACTTTTAAAAGTTTAAGCTGGGATTCAGTTTCCTGTTGGAAGGAGAGCATTCTGCATTTGAAACATGTTTAGATACAGTAACTACAGCCCAAACCTGAGAACATCTGTGTCTTTTTTCCTTGGACATCTTCATTTATTCTGTGCTTCTCTGTCTTTAGTGTCGTTAAGGCAGAGGTTGGTGCGTTGGTTGGGTGATGCTCTACCAGTCTTAAGCTCTCACACATTGTGGGGAGCTTTCTCCCATGTTTGCTTTGGTCATTTTCCTTCAAGCCTCTTTGTTAACAATCTCCACGTGTTCACGGGAGCTCTGGAGTCTTTAGCTCAAGATATAAAGCAGTTTTCCATAATTCCTTAAGACCTATAATAACTTCATCTCTGTGAACGCCTCGCATGCATTAGATGCACAGTCTGTGTGTGGTGATCTAGATGCATAACAGGGATGTGGATTCTTGGTCATGTTTTGACCTGATTTTTTCCTTTAAAATACAGTTTGGATTTTTAAGGTCTCCGTTTGGGTTTATGTAAATGATACTATGTTGCATCTTCACTAATGAGTTTAATTACCTCTTTAAATAACACAGCATAAAATGACAGTGAAGGCAAAATACTTTGTACAATTTGGCACAGCTAAGGAAATGGTAGATCCCCTGTAGTGTTCGTTAGCCTCTTAGCATAGGTTAAAACTACTAACAGTGTTAGGTGGGAGATGGATTCTCAAGGCCAGTTTTCATCAGTCTGCCTCATTAATCAGTGCAAATGATGCTGTGAAATTCTGTTCTGCTCCCAAATGTTCCATTCCATTGTGTTAAAGATTTTTTTAATGATGAAAAACAAATATAAAAACATATTTTAAAGTTGTGCGACAGCTTAGCCTACACAAGCCAAGAGTTTACGCTTTACAGTCTCACCTTTCAAAAATACTAAAACGTGTGTGGAAGGCATCAAAAAGGCATCTTCAGAGTCTGAGAGAGTTATTGCATAATTCCTTAAAAGACAAACTCCCAGCACGTAGCAGCTGACATCCTCCTCACCTCTTTTTCCTACAGATGGTGATAAGAAAGCTAAGTAGGACACAATGAACATTTCAACCCAAAAGTTGAATGAAATTGATTTTTTTTTAATGCTTTCCAAAACTGTGCATCTTCAGGACAGTCATTATTATGGCAATAATGAGCACTCATGATTTGATATGTACTAAGACATGTTTGAATTGCCATGCCCTGGGTTTCCTCAGATCTGATACATTTTCTTTTCCCTTTTAAATGGCAACAACCTCTGCTTTTAATAATTATGTTGTTTGAAAAGACAACTGCACAGCAGAATTGTTTGGATAACTGGTGTTCTGTAGTAGACTGGGAGGCTTTTGCACAGAGGTAGGAGAGCATCTATTGAGTTGAATTCATGAGTTCTTATTTATTGTGCTGTTACCAGCTTCCGTTTATAGGATGTTTGGGTTCAGCTGTGCACGTTTGCTGAATGAACGAGACCTTGAAAGCTTCTCTGGGCAGCAGGAGACTTGGGTTTTCCTTAATTCCCCACCCCTTCTCTGTTCCGTACTGAGAGTCTCTTGCACCTTGAAGCATCTGATGGGCAGGACATCGGCCACTCGCTGCCTGGGATCTGGGAAACAGGGAATCGCAAAGGTCTGGGTGGCAGGGAAGGGATAACGGCGAAGTTACTCCTAGGAGAAGGAGGAAAGGAGACTAATTCCCCTGGCTTCGTACACAGAATTGCAGGTAATGGTCAGATCCTCCAATCCTTGCTTTGCCCTCAGTGCCAGCCTTGTGTGAAGACAAGGAAGGAGAATAAGGGTGAGGGTCTGGTGGTGCTCAGGGTCGCATTGGGTCCTGTGGGGCAGGCTGAGGGTTTCTGCCGGGGTGCTGCCATCCTCCTGCCCACCCGTCAGTACAGCGGGGGCACCACGTCAGCGAAACGTGTCCCTTCAGCCAGTCTGTCCGTCTGCTTGTTGTCTTGGCTGACCCTGGATACCCCCATGCTGTTTGCCAGCTCAGCAGGATCCAGGAGGAGCTTTGTGCCAACTCCGAGGGGTTTCACCACAGGGATGCCCCATGGTCTCGAGCCCAGGTAGCGCTGGTGCCTGTGCCTGTTCAGGAGGGTTGGGGACAGACGATTTTACCTCGATCCCCTACAGGGGAATTTACAGGGAAACTGGGCGGTGTGTTCTGGTTGTGATTTAATATTGTGCAACCAGTTGCCCAATCCGTAGGGTGTTGAAATGAAATCCTTTAAATGGGAAAGTCTGTGTCTTAGAATGTATCCTAATGAGTGCGTGTCATGGGGTGAGCGGAGGAAACGGTGACTGTTCCCCCTTCCTCCAGGATTAACCGACTCCAGGGCATTGGCTTTGCTTTTGATGGGATGTGGATTGGGGGGGTCGGAGCATCTTAGATGCTTGTCAGGGGGTTGAGTAAGTCCTTGTGGATGAGAACATTAGTTGATTCAGACAATTTAACAAAATAAGAACTTAAGGAAGAAAATGGCTCTGGTAGAGGGCTGAAATCTGTGTTTCTTGCCAGGAGATGCCTTGCAGGGAGGTCTGTGTCTCCTCTCATGGCCTGATAGCAGTAGACATCAGCTGTAGTGAAAGGTGATAGGGCCCTTTCCCTGTGTCTCCTTAATCCAGTTGTCTGTCTGTTGGGTTTTGAGCACTTTTTTGTGTGTATGTGTCTACAAACACACGAAACCAGTTGGGATGAAGTGCTGTGCATGAGCACCTACTGGTAACGAGCCATCTGTGGGTTTTTAAAGGTTATAAAAAGATAGAATTTGTTCTAGAAAAGATTAGGAATTAAGGTGAAGTTACAAACAATGAAGTATTTTCATCTGGAGTAGCATAAATATATTTTAAATACAGCATTGGTAGCTTGCTCTTCTTTTTTTCTCTGGATCTTGTAGAAAAAAAAAAAAAAAAAGACATATTGTCCTGTGCTTTTGCCCTGTTTCAACTCAGTCTGCTCTGAAAATCTGCTAATTGTGGTAATGGGTCCTGGGCTCGATGTTAAGAGCTGCCAGGGTCTGTGTTTCGCTGCCCACAGCGGGCGGCTCTGCTCGCGGTGCAGACAGACCCTGCACCGGCTGCGGACATCGAGGCGCATTCCTGGAGTCCTTCCTGCTATCCCTAAATCACGTCAATTAAACCCTGCCTTCTGCCCATGCAAACATCTCCTAGAGCATTTCAGGAGCAGCTAAGGCTGACTGCTGCAAGTGTCGCCCTTGCTTTCAGCATTAGCCTGATCGCTTCAGAGTTGTGTTTGTTGACCTCTCTTTTGGAAATGTTAACATTTCCAATGGCATGTTTGCCCTTTCTGTGCTTAAGGGAAAGAGTTCTGTTTACTTGGTCATAAGGATCCTCTAGTCTTTCACTGAGCTTTGTCAGTCTGTCCCAACAGGATATATGGGTAATTATTTATTCACTGTGGAGTAGCTGGTGTTTGTATCTGCTGAAATCTCGATACCGTCATGCTGCCAGGTTAAAGCTCCTAAGGCTCCTCCGAAACCCCTCTGGTCTCAGCTAGGGTGAGCAGCTTTGCTGCCCCGTCCATACAAACCCTGCTGTGAGGCCTTACTGAACATGCTCACCAAATACACATAATCATCTATTTGTTGTTCTGTCGTGTTAAGAGTAAGTTAGAAACCAGAAAGTTGTGCTGATCAGCTCCAACTACTCAATTTCCCCTTGTTTGTGCTACTTTTGTTGTTGTTTTCGTTGCATCTCTCTGTCTTCGGCTACTTTGTAAAATAAGAATCTGGAGAGTGTTGAATCTGGAAGGTGTTGGATACTTCCCACGCACCGGGCTGCCCTTGTGGGTCCTGGGTTCACGTGGGATCCCTTAGGGACACGCGGCCGAGGCCGCAAGTGCAGAGGAGGACGTTTCTGAGCTGCAGCCTGGTGGGTGTCAGCCTGAGCACTGGGAGGAGGGCCCTGCTGGGGGCTGCCCGTGCTCTGCTCCGAGCCAGGCACTTCCCTTCACTGCATTTCATCTCTTACTGCTTTACCTCACCTGCCTGCAAAGCACAGACACTCTATATTATTTCTTTCCGAGACTGAATGAGTATTTTATGGGAATTCAGCCTGAAGATTTCATCTTTCCTCCTCCCTCTCCTGCCCAGCACAGACTGCCCCAAACTCAAACTTGCCATTTTGGAGATGCACTTAAATCTACTTAAATGGGATCCACTCAAAAAGAGGCATCTTCCCAGGTGCCACGTTCCCTGAGGCATCTCTTAGGGGTCTTAGGGGTGTTCAAACGAAGAAAACAAATTTGCACATTTAAGTATAATGTGTTAAATGGCTTTCCCTTTAAGCTGTTTCAATAGGAGTAGCATTAGTTGCACAAGTTCCCAGTTAACTCTGTGGATATGTTTATTATAGACATTTTTTTTGGTGGCTTCCATATGATGCGACACAAGGAGCGCTGTCAGAGCTGTCATGTCAGAGCTGTTGTTGTGCTACGCATGTGAAAACATAATTGCAAATGGTACAGGGATGTCTTAACACTCCCGGCTCTGTAAACAAAGAAAAACCTTTTTTTGTCAAAGTTTTAGGCATTGTTTTTTTTAAATGCTGAAGAGGATATTTGAGTTTGTGTGTATCGTATGCCCAGGTTTGTGTGAATATAGTCAGAGTTTTTATGTAACTGGAAATCAGCTTGTGCGAGTGTATTATTGGGGAGTCTTTATTGTTAAAATGGTTAAATATCCATGGAAGTTGATCTTTGGTGGGATCTGCTCTGCGGTTCCTTCAAAATCCGAGGAATAACGATGTTCCCTCCCGCAGCGAACAGCTCTGCGCCTTCTGTTACTGCGGGGACCGGAGCTCCCTGGGCCAGGGAGAGCTGAAGCAGTTCAGTCCCACGCCGGGCTACGTGGCCCCATGGAGGAAGCAGCCTCCGGCGCGGAGCGAAGGCGGCGACGGCCCCGACGGAGCTGGCGAGAGGCCGCCGAGCGCAGCAGCGCCGCGGCGGCAGCGGGCGCGCAGGAGGTGAGTCCGGCCGCGCCGCGCGAGCGCGACCCGTGTGTGTGTGCGTGTGTGTGTGTGTGTGTTTGTGTGTGTGTGTGTGCGTGTGTGTGTGACCAACCGTGGCTGGAAGCAGCGCGCTCCCGACGCGCCCCCTCTCCCCACCCCGCGCCCGGCCCGCCCGCCGCCCCCGCCGGGAAGGGCCGCGGCGGCGCTGACGTCACGCGGCGCTGGAGCGCGCCCATTGGCTGCCTGGTGCCGCGGGGCGGGGCCTGCCGCTGCCCCACCCCCGGCCCGTGACGGGGCGCTCCCGTGAGGGGCGCGGGCGGCGCCTGCGGGGCCGCCCCGGCCCGGGCGCTTTGGACGCGCCCGTGTCACCCAGCGGGAGAGCGCGCCCGCTGTAAAATAACAGTGAAGGAGATCGCTGGGGTTTCTCATAACCGAAAATTAAAAAATAAGTTAAAAATGTGCAAGAGGAATTTTTTTCCACATTTTTTCCCCCTCACTCCACCCTTCCTGGTGCAGTCCTCGCAGGCGCTGTGTGCAGGCCGGCAGTTACCACAGGCTGAAATCCCCTCGGGCCGCAGCCCTTGGGTCACTCGCTGGCAGCCAGGGGTACCCAGCACCGCCTGCAGGATCAGTTTCAGAGTATCCCTTTTTTTAGAGGCTGTGAGCAGGAGCAAAGCAGGCAGGATAAAGGTGGTTCTGGGCTGTCTCACACCTCTGGGTAGCAGTGGGGGGGAAAACAAAGTTCCCAGCACTGAACGGCAGCCCAGGCAGCCCCCGCAGCGCCGCATCGGAGCAGATTTCCTGCTCGCGTCCCAAGCGGATTGAGAACATTTTTTGCTTACAGGAAATAAGGGGGAGGAGTCAACAACTTTATTTCTTAATGAACTCATCTAAATATTAACTATTTTCTGGTGATGTCAGAATTTGAGGGATAAACGATTGCTGTTTCTTTCTTGCCCATTTTTTAAAATAATTTTATAAAGTAGGTCCTCTCATGTCAGCACGATAGTGTTTCTCTTTATAAATATATATATATAGTATATCTATATTGAGTTTTATAATCTTTTCCTTTTTTTTTTTTTAAATACATTGGTTAGGTGTGGGTAAAGATACCTCTTTCCAGGCTTCTTTTAAGCTCCTAGTTTTAATTTTTACCCCTGCCCATACTGCCCATATACTCATTGGCTGTGTTACAGCCAGACCCCGTAGTCTGGCTGGCGCAGCCCTCTCTGTGGAGGACACAGTCCACGGATACTCCGCAATGCACCAGGGAGCAGCTCTGAAGCTTGCGAAGGGCAGGCTGTGCCAAAGCTGCAGCTCGTGCCCTCCACCCTCTGCTTCCCACATCTCTTCCTCAGAGTATCACAGACTGTTTGCTCTGACTTTGCTTTCTGTGCCTAGGGATGGACACGTTTTAATATTGAGCAAAATTTTTAACATTAAAAAAAAAAAAAAAAATTAAAGCACACATGTCCTGAACAAATGGACAACAGACCAGGAGAGGGATGTTGTTGCAAGCCCTCTTTTCCCCCCTGTTGATTAGCAGTTTTAAATGAAAATTTTGTGATTGGAAAAAAATACCAGGTATGAGGAAGAACAGTTTTGTTCGTGTCGATGGATGTTTTCAATTACACTTGGAAAAACGATTCTGTGAATTGATGCTCATTTGCCCTGCTTTTTGAATCGCTTGAGTTTCTCGCTAGTTCTCCAGTCAATGCAAACTTTTCTAAGCCTGTTTTTCTGCCTCCTGTTACAGATCACAGTCAAGTATAGCATCATGTACAAGCGTAAGCACCCAAACTGCTTCTGACGATCAGGTTGTCAAATTCTGGGATGAACTCAGTTTAGTTGGCTTACCAGACGACATTGATGTTCAAGCCTTACTTGAGCCAACAGGTAAGGCCATGTTGTTAAACCTTCTTCTCTTATCCCTCGGTGGGATTTGGGGTTTTAATGTGGCAGCTGGGGTGAAAACAAGTTTTTCAACTCCTGGTTTTCTGTGCTCTACTGTTCATCAAGTGTCTAATTTTATTTTCTTAGTTTCTGCCAGTGTTTTTTGGCGTTTCTGGAGATCTTCCTTCCCAAGCACTAGGCAGAATCTTTGGGGCTGACACCACAGCTTTATATGGGGAAATACTTGTCATCTGCCACAAAACTGTTCAGAAGTAGTACCCTCAGCTCAGTGTCAGGCTGTATTTTGAGGAGGAGAAAAGAAATGATAGAGATAAATTTAATTCCTAAAGGCCTAGTGTTTTACCCTTACCTAGTCTGCTGCTAATGCAGAACAAGTTAAAACACTGCAAGTACCTGATTAAGAAAATCAGGGACTGATAGAGTGATAAACTTGTCGTTTCCTTGCATTTTCCATTGCCTGTGGATTATCAGCCCGAAAACTTGTCTAGTTGCTTTCTACTCTTTCATTTTAATCAAAAGCTTTTCTTCACAGCTGGTTATGAATTACTTTTTCAGAAAACATTACGTCGTCCACTCACATATTTTGCCTCAGAAATAGGAGTTTATTTCAGATTAAACCTTTACTGGAATAAAAAAAAAATGTTATTCTTTCTTGTTTGTGGAGACTGATTTCAAAACCTAAATATAAAGCTTTATTTTTTTCATGGATTAATTTAACTAGTTACACTACAGTGTAGTGGTGGGACCAATCAATCTGAATAATTTCAAGTCACCGTTACTATTTGGAGATTTTACAGAAATTTTTTTAGCTTGTTGCTGAATAATTTGACTGACTCCAGTACCTAATTCCAGCAGCTGACAAAGAACATCATCTCGAATCTAATAAAAAACTGTCACATGATTCCTTCAGATGAGAGAAGAAATACTCATCATTTACATTCACATTTACAGTGTTTTTCCCAGGACTGAGTTAGAAAGTTGTATTTTAACAGATAGCTGCTGAAGAAACAAAACTATTTATTTAAACTGGGAAGTGTTTGCTATTGAAGCCAAGCTCCCTGCTGCCAGGTGGCATTTGATGTGGTTCTAAGACTGAAGCTCTTTGTCTCTTGGTGCCCTAGGTCACTGCTGGGCTCATCACCGCTGTGCGGAGTGGTCTTGGGGAGTCTGCCAGACTGAAGAGCAGCTATCAGTGAACGTGGACAAAGCTGTTGTCTCAGGGAGCACAGAAGTGAGTAAAACACCACGAACACTCAAGCGAGCAGGAAAATATGGTGGAGGGTGGAGAGGAGGGAGAAGGGCCAAGAACAGACGATAAAAACACAGAGGCGAGACTGGAAATACCCTCCTGCAGGTCCCTGAGCTCACACTCAACTCACTGCCACACACTGAGCTTGCAGTGGGCACGTCTTCGTGTTAAATCTCCTGCTAGGAGGTGTTAATGAGGCTTCTGGATGGAATATATTATTAGTGTAGACTTGGGGGCAATTTTGAGGTGACTAGAGTGTGGAAAGTACCCGACTGACCAAGGGGACATATAGGCAAAGGCAAGCTGAGCTCACATTAGCAAATGCACTGCAGAATGGAGCAATTGTCACTTCACCAGCTCATATTGTTAAGTTGCATGACTCCAATGTAGTCACAAAATCATTAATTATTTTCATGTAGTTTTAGCTGTAATTTGGTACAGGGAAAATGATGGTCGCTGTAAAGCCTAGATTGTAATTTTAAATATTGATAGAAATTCAGATGTTTGTGTTTGGTCTTTCAGTTTGAAATGATGAACTGTTGGGAAAAGTGGATACATTTGAAAATGATGCATTACTTTTGGTGTCGTTCTTTGAACAGTATTTTGGAATGTCAGAAAGACATTTCATATATTTTGTTTTATTTTTAGTCTTATTATCACATCTAGTAGATTATTTTAGTTTCTTCTGCATTAGTGAGTTTTTCTTTTGAAAGATCTATATAATTCTCATTGACATATGTATGTTTCTTTTCCAAAGAGCATGCTTAGGCTTATTTCTATTTGTTTTTTTTTTATTTATTTTCATGCATTGTAATAAGATAAAAACAAATCTGAAATTAATCTCCAATACTGCTGTCCAGTGCAGCTTTCCTTGCACCTTCTGTTTGTACATGTACTTGAATAACTGCTTTGTTTTGAATCATTTGATTTCTGTACATCTCCTTTGAAAGCAATTTACCACTCAGAATGAATGAGACAGCTTAAGTTCTCAATGAGCTAGAATATGTTAAAAATTGTGTTTGTGCATACACCGTATATACATATGTAGATGTGTCTGTGTATATATTTTTATATATATATATATTTGTTGGAAGAACATTGAGTATGGGCCACTTTTTTCATCTCACTACTGGAATTTTTTCAGACTTTATCATTTTTTTTTGCCAGTTATGATGGAGGTTTGCAGTCACTTTGTGATTAGCAGATAAATGCAGTCCATTCCCATCTGGAGTTATTTTCAATTTAATGTTCTAGCTTAAAACAGGAATTCTTGGTAACAGTGTTCAGTTTTGTATTTTATGCTGTTGGATTTTGTTCCGTTTCTATTATTTCAGTACTGTTTCTCGCTATATGGTATCTGTATTGATGGTGCCGTTAGCTTAATGTCTGCTTTCTGTGTAGGTGTTCGTGATGCAAACATTTAAATAAGAATTTTTGAGGAATTCCACATCTCCGTCTCTCTCTTATGTGGCAGTTTGATTTATGGCCTTGTCTTTTTATGTGCTGCTGCATAGTTCCTCCGCTAATGTTTCCAAATTCTGCAGATAAGTTTTTAGGGTGCAGTAGCTTGTTTCAGTGCAATGCAGAAGGGATGAAGGGAATTGCAGTTTGTATCTGGCATCTGCAGACTTTGCTGAAGCTGTCGGGAAGTTTCCCTCCCTGTAGGACAGCGGTAGCTGACAGAGAAAGCGGCTGTTTCGGTTGTTCTGTTCGACTTCTCTTGGTGTGAGAACAGTGAGAGCTAGAGGAGATGTTTCCCACGGTCACAGAGGGTTATCCAGGAAAGTTTTAGCTTTTATTTATTTATTTATTTTTATTTTTTATTTTTTCCAAAAATATGTTTAGGTCATCTGTAGTTCTCTGTTCCTGACTATGGAGCGGCACCACGAGGGCTGCTCTCGGTTTTATGTAATAGGTTTTGAGCTGAAGGAATCCGGGGTGTGCTGCTGTGTCCAGGTTGTAGAGCTGGGACAAGGATGTCCCACTCTTCTGGAAAGTGTTCAACATGTCACTGTGCTGTACAAGACACGCGCGCACACACACAAAAATAAGCTGCTGATTTTGCTGCTCTGTGTGGTGGAAAGTCAGCATTAAGCAGAGAAATTCATAAATTCATGCAAAACATTTACATTTTTAATTGAAAGATGTTGCATTTAATTTTCTTTATTTTTTTCCTTTGTATTTAGTAGCTGCTCTGTTTTGTTAGCATTTGGGGCTTCTTTGGAAGTGATGCTGTTGCATTTCAAGAGAGTCAAGTTTCTATTTAAACGTTTAGAGCACTCTTTGCAATGTAGATGCAAGTATGTGCTCAAGGGCTAATAGAAAAATAATTTAAATAAAAGCAAGCTGTATATTATGTTATTTCCTCTACTTGCCACTAAATTTGCTTTTCTTTTTGGTCTTCTTGGAAGTTCTTAGGACATCATATGCGTTTATGATGTGGTCTGCAGTAATGACGTTTTTCCTTAGCTGGGAAAATATATTTTCTTTTCCTTATAATATTCATGTACAGATGAATTTTTGAAATGCAGCAGGCTCTGTTTTGATAGTAAAGTCCTTTGGTTTCCTTTCAGTCCTTCATCTCTCTTTGTGGAGAACATTTTGGACCTTATCTTGAGGGTCTCTGATTTTTTAGCTCTGTTCCTGGTTCTCATTAGCTAGGAAGTCTATTGTTTGTGACTCTGTTCTAACCGGGCTGGACAGTGTTTCTCATTACTCTGTTTACCCGGCGAGATGGCCATTTGGCTTCACTCAACTTGCCATCGCCTTAATAACGCTTGTGTGGACATATTTTATTGAGCTGTGCCACCCTGTGCATGAGATTCAGCTTTGTTTGTCAGCCCTCGCTTCCCGAGAGTCTCCAGTACTCTCACAGAGAGGGTTTGGTGTCTGTATGTGCTTCACAAGTTGCTCTACCCTGTGTAATTTTCTTCCTGCTTTCTCCCTTTTTTCTTTCTTTTGATTCCCTCATTTTGAAGGCCTGGCAATTCATTTCCTCAGACACCTGACTTATCTGCTTCATATATCTGTGTGTCTAGACAGAGCTGGAATCTTTGACTTGCTTTCCAAGTCTCCATTTTTGCCTGTGTTTAGTGTTAAATATATCCATATATATGCATGTATACATGAGGTCTTTGAAATAGTGTTACTTTAGAACGACTGGGAACCAAAAGCTGTTGGCTTCATGATCCTGGATGTGCTTTCGCCCCCAAGGGCAGCACGGGGGACTCCTGCCGTCTTAGTGGGGCAACTGAGAGGAAGGACCATGGATTCTCTGGGAACCACTTTATAAATTAAAAAGTTGCAAGGAAAAGTAGGTGTCCAGGCACCCAGCATGTTCTGTCACTGCTTCACTTTGAAGAAGAGTGGGTTTTAATAGGCTTTCAGTTATTTTTAAATCCTTCTTTGTAATTTTCTTGCTTAAGTGTGTCAAACAGGTGGTTGTTTGGCTTCAGTCTGCTAAGGAAAGAAGAAACTTCAGCACCTGCCTCACATCACCCAGCCATGTCTTTTCTGTGCCATTACAAGCTCCCAAATGTCCCTTTGTTTTATCCTGCATTTAAAACATGCATAAAGTTGCAGGAAAGCCCCTGGAAGACCCCTGATGGGTTGGACAGACACAGTAGCCAACAGGACACACAGCGTGCTCAGAAAGAGAATGTTTTTGGGAACACTTTAAGAAATGGTGCAAATTGGAATGCCAGAAAAACCCTTTTTTGTTTGTTTTTAATGCTCAAGCAGCTCAATTGAAGAAGTGACCCTAATGGTAGCTCAGCAGCTAATGTGTTCGAGCTGCTTCTGAGCACACAGAGTGCAAGGAATGGCTGTGGTTGTAGCTTTCCCAGACAGCCTTCTCATCTGATAAGCCCTAGAAAGCAGTTTCCAGGTCTGGGAGAATTTCTCAAGGACACTGAAGTCAGAGAAAACAGAATGGGTGGGAGCCAAGAAGGGGGTTGCCATTAATTTATAGACTGAATAGGGAAAATATGATAGTAGTGAAGCGGTTGTTCCAAAATACTGTATTCCTGTGTTTCCATTTTATAAAATAGAGATTTCTGTTGCTTAAGATGTATGTGTATATCATTCTTTGCATATTTATCTACTTTCAAGATTTCCTTTTCCCAACAAGAGTCAAATATGTTTTCAGGACCAGACTTTTGCAGCCAAAGAGAGCTGGAAAGTTGTCGTCGCCTTCCCGTTTCCCTCTATTCTCGCTTACCCGGGGCCGCTTCTCTGCGTCCCGGGCACGTGTTCTCAGCTCCCACCGAGTTTCTGCAGCCTCCGTTTCCCATGTTATCCCCTGTTATCCCTGTAGGAGCTACTGCTCTGCCCGAAGGCAGCCCCACAGAGCCTGGTCTCGCTTGCTGTGTGTCATTCCGTGTCCTGCAACCCATGGTGCTGCGCAGCGCCAGCTCGGCCGTCTTGTTGTCAGCAGCCTCCTTGGAGCTCTGTGGCTGGCGGCAGGAGATGTTCTGGCTGCTTGTGGGTGCTCCCCGCCCAGGACAACCCACTGGGACTTAGGCATTAAAGATCCCACCTAATGGTCTATTCAAGCCTTGCCCATCCACTCCTCTTAAATGTTGGCTCAAGCCTCAACTTTTCCATTATCGAGCTAAACTCTGGAAATGGAGAAAGAAATGGAGGGAAAATTGGAAGCGGTTTTGAAATGGGTGCCTTGTTTTTAAGTGTTGGTCCCCGTTTTGAGTACAGCCCCATCTTTTAGTCGTAGTGTATTCCTTATCTTGTTGAGACTTGCCTGGTTTTATTGCTTTTTTTGTTGACTTGTGCCTGATAGACTTGATTGACTTAATTTCTGCTGCTTCAAGTTGAAAGCCTGTTTGGCTGAATCTGAACCTCCCTCTGCTGCTCCTTGTGTGCAGAGGAAGTGTGAACATCTTAGTGCACTATTAACTTTGTCCTCTCTGAAGAATCACGTCTATTTAACCATACTATTTTTCAGCTAGTTTTATTTTTATTAGTAC